CACACACAAAAAAAAAAAAAGCCTTTCCACACAGCTACTGGCCCATTTTGAATATGCAAAACAGGGAAAAGAAAAAGGAAAGATTCAAACGAATTTCAAACAAAAAAAAAGCGGAAAAGCTTGGGAAAGGAAAAGAGAAACAACAAAGAAATAGCAGAAGAAAAGAAGTCGAGAAAGAAAAGAAACCGAAACACGAGAAAAATTCTTTGAAAATGGAAGTAAAAAACAAGAATAAACATTAAAATAATAAAATAATAAAAAATATCCAATAAACCAGGAGCGAGGGAAAAAGGGGGATAGAAATGGGCCTAGCTCAGTTGGTACACCCGTGAACTGTTGAAGTACAGACCCAAGTTCAAATCCAGATGCCGCCAGATGAACAGAACAATATGATTCTGGGGCTGGTCAGCTCAATGTTATATCTCAAGGTCGTTGTGTGTGGACTCTGGACTCTGTCCTCAGGGGCCCTAGGCAACATGCATATCTTCTGGAATATGGCCCCCCCAGCAAGCCCTGTGCCTGCCCTAAGTGAAGGCGGGCCTGAATATTCACGAGAGGCCTTTATCTCAACATTTTTTAATGCAGGTCTCAGACAGTTGCTGCACGACAGTTGGTTGAAGTGCAACCTGAGCCTTACCCTGGGCTCTTCCAGAAGAAGCAACTGCGCCAGGCAGTTGAGCCCAGGGCTCGGGTGGTTGTGCCCTGGGCACACACATTGTGAGGCCGACACACCACGAAGTGGCCACGGGCCAACAAGAAAGCATTATTGTCGCCGTATCTACCCCGTGGGCTAGTGCAGATGCAGCAAACATTCGGAGCCTAGAAAATCCTGGGTGTGCCCAACTGTAAAGGGCCCAGGCCCTCAACTGCAGACATGGGCCTGGCCGCAGACACTGGGGCCCGACCGGAAGCCACTGGAAACTTCCACAGCCAGGCCCAGACAGTCCAGCAGCAGCAACCTCTCCCATATAGGGAGGAGGCTGGCCAGTGCTGGGCATTCTGGCCTAGGCAGGCAATGCGGACACGCTGCTGCGACGCTGTGCAAGTGTCAGATCTCAATCAGGTGATGGCTATGGCTTCTCTCTGTAGATCGTCACCCTGGATACACCCTCCCAGGTAAGCTTACACCTTGGCGGCTATGGCCACCGTCCTCCTGCTCTACCCCTATCCTAGCTATGGAGTCACTCACAAGCACCCTCTTCTTCTTCGGGCATGCAGTGCTTTGTTTTTGTCTTTTGCATTGATTGACTCTGAGCTCCGACCATTGAACAAACTTGGTGGACAAACACACTTTATGTGAAGCTAAAACAGCAGCTGCTTGAGCATTTGACAAACTAACACCATACATTTCAAAAGCCCCAAACGTTCGGTGAGCTACACAGCAACAGACGAGATCAAGAAAGTGACCGACCTGGAGTTTCTTTTAAGAAAACAGTTTGGACCCATTGCCGCGAAGCCGCAGCCCAGAGGTGTGCGGATGCAATGAGATGATGAAGGCGGGCCATGTCACACGGGGTGGGGAAGTATGACCGCCCCACAACAAAAGGCCACAAAAACGAAAAAAAACAAAGAGCCAAACCTTAAACGGGAAGGCAAACCTAAACGCACGAGCGTCGTTTACGGGCCACACACTGTTACATGCCCAGTTGGGCGATGTACATAATAACCAAGGATCCGCAGTGTGATGAAAAGGACTGAATGGGCAATGCAGTGCAAGTGAAATCTCAACGAGCAGTGCACTCTGATACATACAAAATGGTGCTTTACAGCGCAGTGGAAGACTTAGATACAAGTCCTGACCTGGCCGGGACTGACCTCTTTTATGTAGTACAAGATAGCGAAGCAGAAGGCTAATACTAGTGACGAGCCCAATCAATGTCGCAATGCAGACTAAACATACATCATTTTCACCACAAGGTGTGAAGGGGCCTGGCGCTATACACAGGAAGAGGCGCCAGGTCCAGCCATGCACAGACGAAGAGGAGGGGAGAGATGAAAAGTCGTCAACACCAAGTCTTGTTACAAGTCCCAAATAATCTCTCGTCAAAATGTCTGAAGTCCAATGTCGAGTCTCGATCCAAATGTCACCAAGCTCTCTCTCTCTCTCTCATAGTCTGCTGATGCAGTGAAGTCAGATATCGAGAGGGTGAGAGGGAGCTGGTGGACTGAGAAGAGGAAGAAGAAGGACTTTCTCTCTCTCATATGCCAGGTACTAACCTGTGAAGGTGGCGCTGTGCTGCAGGTACCTTGAAGACGAAGCTGGAGCGATGGCGCTGCAGGTAAGTCCCTCTGGCCTCCGCCCAATCTCTCTCCCTGTAGTACTACTCTAGCTATGGCGCCCGGCGCTGAAGACTACAGCTAACGCTACTAGCGCCCAGCGCTGAAGACTACTGCTAACGCTACTACTACTCCTGCAGCGCTCCTCCAGAGTGCTGCTGCCGAATCCTGAAGACTACCTCCTGCCTCCTGATTTGCACGTGAAGTGCCTGGGAAGTACCTAGGAACTACTTGCAGCCTGCAGGGCGGGTGATACATACTCGCGAGAATATCAACGAGTATGGGGCAGAACCAAAGATCAACCAATATAGGATGAGCATGTATGCAGCGGAAGTCTGATAAACAGAC